GGTTCTTGGAGAATGATGATCAAAATATAGGTCATAGTGACCTACTTGTGACATTTATGGCTAAATTTAAGTATTCTAGGGTACTTATTGGCTTAAAACTTTGTCAGTTTATGCACCTTGGGTTTTTGGAGAATGTTGGACCAATAAGTAGGTCACTGTGACCCACTTTTAAATATCTCAAGTACTTATTGGCTTAAAATCATCAATCTTTGTCAATTAATGCATCTTGTGTCCTCTGAAAATTTCAATCAAAAAGTAGGTCACCATGACCTACTTATAGTATTTTATAGTTACATTTAAATATCTTCAGCCCTAACTGGCTAAGAATCATCAAACTTTGTCAGTTGATGCATCTTGGGTCTTAGTATAGATTGTATAATTTATCAGAAGAGCGATTCAAAGCCCTTGGGCCTCTTGTATTGATGATCAGCGCGTAAAAACATCTCCAAAAATCGGAACATCATCAAGCGTCATGGAGCACTGCAGTACGTAAAAATTATGTGTGCGGACAGGAAAATGTCTAAAAAAGAGATTAAAATGTTCAAGATGCCGCCGGCAATTTCCTACACATACAAGGGACTAAGTTTTCAAATGGTTGTAGCTTTATAAGAATGGGAGGATTAACATTTTGAATGATTAACTCCATTGATACTTCAATACCCCTTATGGCAGGGATGTTGTGCCTATATGGTTTTGCAAAGTTTCCATTCCTGCTCAATTCACTGCATAGACTTTTTTAAAGATTATTTAAAAAAATAATATGAATCAGTACAAAAAACATTATAGTAGAAAAGTACATGTCTTGATATAGATACCAGGTATTCAATTTTAAAGTAGAAAAAAAGATGAGAAAAATCTGAAGAAATGAAAGATTTATAGAACTGGACAAAGCTTAACAGGTTGAAATCTGATTGTCAGGTCGCCTTACGTCAAGTGATTGCTCCGTGAATCCCATGACCTCATAGTAAAAATTGTTGTAAATTTTCAAGATTTAAGTAAATGGACCTGATTTTTTACATACTAATAAACAAAATGTAGGAATTTATTCAGGTATAGGTCATACTACACAATACACAATAGATTTTCCGTAATTCAATGTGTCCGCGAACTTTTCTAACAACCCTCGTATTTATATTGAAGGTGAAAATTTTTATGATGTATTTATAGTTCTCTTATACAAGAATATGAAACTCTGATAATTAGTAGTCATTCATCAATTTTTTCAACATTTCCAAATTGATAGTTTCATTTTGACAAAATGAGATAACGATGCACGATACAGACATTCAGCTGTGTGTGGATATAGCAATTTTGCATCTTGCTAAAATAATAATCACACTGCATCTTTACCATGTAGTATTAAAACAAAACAAATTATCAATTAATTACCTAATTTTATTTTAAGTTTGTTTTCAAATACATGAAATAAACAGAAAAGATGTTACCTTCTTGTACAGCATTACATGTATAACAATTTTTAATAAATAGACAAGAAATCTGTCTTCAAAATACAAAGTTAACACATTGTATCAACATAAGACAAGCATATGATACAACATTCAAATTCATACTCTATAGGATCCTTATGTACTTTCTTCCTTTCTAGTTAGAAAGGATTTAGATCTTGAAGTAAATCAATGTTAATGATGATAATTATAAAAGCTGAAATGCATTCTGAAATAATATATATATATATATATCAATATTATCTGGAATTACAAGCTTAGCAATATGTAAGGATACATATGTATTGAGTGTAACACACTAATGTCCTAAAAAATTTCATTAAGTAAGATTTGTTGATCTTAGATCATAATGCAAGTTATTTTCCCTTGTAAGTTAACAATAGTAGTATTTAAACAAAGTTTCCAACAACAGTTAGCCACCATTCCCCGATTTGGCACCTCATTATATCCCTTTAAAAGCACCAGATTGCTTAATTTATGAAATACATGGCAAGATATTTTTATTCTCCAAAAATGTAAGACAAAATCACTATCATCTTTACTATGAAAATTGCAAGTTCATCATCATCATCATACAAAATTCCAGTGAATTGCCTTTCCTATTTATACATTAACATTTTCCTAGAGGTCTCAACTTTACCAGCATTGTCTTCTACATGAAGATGAAAAATGAAAAAAAGAGTTTTAGTCTGTGACAATAAACTGATATGTTCAAAGAAAGAAAGCGAAACCTTCAACAATTCCTTTGTTTACATTAAAATGAATGAGACAAAAATGTTACAAAAACCAACATATATAGGATAGAAGAGTTAATTAAGGCAGTGTGGAGTCTAATGTTTTTTCTTCCTCCGCCTGGCTTTCTTGGCAGCATTGGCGGCCCCCCAGCTCTGACTGGAGGGCTGAGTCTGTGAGGGGGGAGGTTGCCATTGAGCATTGCCATTTTGTTCTGTGCTCATCGCTTGATGAAATAAGTGGTTTATAAAGTCTTCTAAATCTGCTTCACTGAAATAGGGAAAGTATCATATTCATTAGTTCATTTTTTTCATGAAACATATAAATATACATGTATATGTTTTGCTGCACCCTTTAACATCATTTTTTTTCTAAAAAGCTTATATGTTTTGCAGCACCCTTTAATATCAGCTTAAAGCTTGTCAGAATTCTCCTGCACCAAATCCATCAAATAGAGTCCAAAATGAAAAACAATGGCCAAAATTACCCTGATCTGCCATGTTGATGTTGATTATTATTTGGAGCTCGTCCTCCTTCAGTTGCAATTCTGTAAAACACATGGTGGGCGTTCGGCTGCATATGCTTAAAGTAGTCTTTCTGTACACAGTAAAAAATTGACATCTCAGAATGTTATTAAGATATATATAAGCATACGTTAATGATAAATTATAAGCACTGAATAGAATATTTTCAGACACATTTAATTAAATTTAATTCACAGAATATCTTGGATTGACTCAAACATCAAAATCCATGAAAACTGGTTTTCAACGAATAATGTCGCAGCAGCAGTTAAGGAAGTTAAAAAGGGAAAGGTCAAAGACAGAATTTATGCAGCAGTTAAATAACTTCTGATATCTTACCTTACAAGAAACCCATTCTGTTATGTCATATATCTTTCCTTCCATACATGCGAAGTAATGCCATAAAAATCCAAATACTGAAGTTTCTGCCCATACATCCCCCTGAAATATTTATTTTTGTGAACAGAAAATCTATTCCATTGGTAAATCATGAATATCAGCAATCAAAACTAGAACTTCAATTACAGTCTAAAAAGTTACAAAGATATAAAAGCCGACATACATAGCTAGATAGATATATACTAACCTCTTTGGCAGAATGTCGTATATTGCACCGTTTACAGAAGCGAGCGCTGTACCAGGGTCTGTCAGTAGGCGTCCTCTTGTGTTTACCTCCACAGTTATCACAACGCATCAGATTGGCTGCCTACAATTATAAACTCAGATTTTGGACACAAGTTTTTTCATTTACAGGTAATTTATAAACTTTTTCACCAGATTCTATTTTGAAAGTACATATGTTTTTAATGATGCAATTCCTACCTCTTGAATCTTGTCGTGGAGATTTGCAAGTAGATCATTGAATTCTCTCTGGAATGAAAAATACAAATATAAAATTATGTCAGTAAAAGTCAAAGAACATGGACATAATATTTAAAATTTTAATTAATGAGAGTGCAATAGACTGAGCAGAAGCATGTCTTAATACACGACAAGTGTGTAAAAAGACTGACAATTACTCCATTAGTCCTAGTGTAAAGACATGTAGTCTGTCATAAACTGTAACTACTGCACTGCAGGTTTATTAGACATAGACATGAATCCAGAACAATGTATATCATTTTTTAAAAAGGAAATAACATGAAGTAGATACTAAATATTGCAAGTTCATGGGATTTTACAGAGGATTAAGAAAGCCAAAAATTTATTTTATAAATTAAAAAAAAATGATGTCAAAATCATATCAACTTTATGTACATGTATTTATGATAAAACTTATTTGTTCACCCCAAAAGAATATAAGATATCCCGTGTTCTTTGATCTGACCCAACAAGCTGGCAGTTCATATTTGTTTCAATTACAACTACCAGTATCCCCCAATTTTCTGTGTAATTACTTGATGTTAAAATGTTATGTAAGGGAAATAACTTAAGCAATGGTCACTAGAGAATGCATGCAAAATTATGGATGCACTTCAACAAGAAAGTTAAGTGTTTACCATGGCTGCTTCAGCTTGAGTTGCCTCCTCCATTTGACAGTTGTACTTTCTACGTTGTTCCTGGAATCACACAATTCATGTCACTTTTTTGCACTTTGAATTTTTCACTCTCTCAAGGTTTTCAAATAACAAGGAGGAAAGTTTTGTGCATATAGCTTAATACTTTCAAGATACATAATGCAGAGTGTCAAATATATACTTACCGGTTCACCTATCAATTCAAAGGCATGTCCTAAAATCTTAAAGGCCTCCTCAGCACCTGGCTGAGTATTCTGCAAAGAAAAAAAATCCAATAAAATTATTTTGATCTCTGTTCAATAGATTCATGTACCACTACATTATGGACAAATGATTCATGGACTATTATATTGTAAAACGAGAAAATTTGGCGCATACGTATTTTAGCGCAAACGCAAGTGGGAATGCATTGGCGCAAATAAATTTTAGCGCTTGTACTTGTCATTAAATCAGGGACCTGTTAGAATATACATGTATAATGTGACATTTTTTTATCCATCCCCATATTTGACTCTTTGGTTAGTCAAGCACGGAAACACAATAGCACTTCCGTATATATAAGTAAACATTCGTCAACTTTAACGTACTGTTGCAATCACATGGATGTGGCACAATATTAAATTTTTTTTAGTTTTATTTTAAAAAAAAGAAATGGAGTATTTATGCATTTTATTCATATTAAAACAATTCATGCATCAAAAGAAAGTTACTTGGATAAACCGTTATCATAATTAGGTATTGTCTGCAAACTCAATCGCCATGCTTGATTGCATTGTTTACCTAAGGCGATAGATGATTGACACGCCGAGAAGCCAAACTTTGAAGATGCTAATTATAAGTAACTAGGTAACAACTACCAATAGTTTAATTAAATTATAATTTGGCAGAAATTTCTCGATCGATCCTACCAAGTACAGTGCTTGTGTACGACCCTTCGACATTATGTAATCACGCGTTCCGGTTTACATGCACTTATGTGAAAGCTTTGAACACAAGCACACAAAATAATATTTAGAAATACGTTAGCGCACAATAAATTTTAGTGTTCAGGGGCTCTTGCGCCACAAGTGCTAAAATTAGTAGTGCGCCAAATATTCTTGTTTGACAGTATGTCATACCCTACCTTATCTGGATGGACTAGCACAGCTTGCTTCTTATAATATCTCTTTATTTCTTCATCGGTAACTTCATATCTTAATCCTAAAATGCTGTTATAAAACATCAAAAAAATTTTTTTTTTAAAGTCAGAGCACAGATACACTGTATATATTATATTCATGCTATAACAATAATAAAAAAACCTCTATTAGTTATCATTATGTATAGTAAAGTAGAATGTGTCTGCTCAACCTTAGTATCTTTGCCTTCGTGATAAACTGAAAATTTCATTTTTTTTTTTTTTTGCAAAACGCATTATTATAAAAAATATGCTGTTGACAGATTAAAAATGTTACTTTTGCAGGTTAACTAAATAGGATCCTGACATAACAAAGTCTTGTGTTTACCTATATGGGTCTTTTCCTTTACAAGCTAGAAGCCGCTGCATGGCCTCTTCACCTATAAATGAACATCTACACATGTATTGCATGCTGAAAGTTTACATATCAATTATAATGTTAATGAACAAATTATAGAGGAAGGAAATAACATATTTATAGATCAAACAAATAAGAGACATTAAATTTCATAATTTGCAGCAAATTACAAAATTATGCCCTGGTCAAAATACTGGAATAATAACAAGAGGCCCATGGGCCACATCGCTCACCTGAGAAGCTATGACCATTCTGTTCTTTACCAGATTTCCCCCCTTTTAATACATATTGCAACCTCACCCTACCCCACTGATCATAATTTAGACATTTTGAAATCTACACTACCCCAGGATGCTTCTGTGTGCACATAAGTTTCAGCTTTTCTGGCCCAGTGGTTCTTGAGGAGAAGATTTTCAAAGATTTTTCCTATATAATTCTATGTAAAACTTTGATTCCCCATTGTGGCCCCGCCCTACCCCCAGGGGTCATGATTTGAACTTTTTAGAATCTACACTACCCCAGGATGCTTCAACATAAGTTTCAGCTCTTCTGGCCCAGTGGTTCTTGAGAAGAAGATTTTCAAAGATTTTTCCTATATATTTCTATGTAAAACTTTGATTCTCCATTATGGCCCCGCCCTACCCCCGGGGGTCATAATTTGAACAATTTAGGATCTACACTACCCAAGGATGCTTCCACACAAGTTTCAGCTCTTCTGGCCCAGTGGTTCTTGAGAAGAAGATTTTCAAAGATTTTTCTATATATTTCTATGTAAAACTTTGATTCCCCATTGTGGCCCCGCCCTACCCCCGGGGGTCATGATTTGAACAATTTAGAATCTACACTACCCCAGTATGCTTCCACATAAGTTTCAGGTCTTCTGGCCCAGTGGTTCTTGAGAAGAAGATTTTTTAATGACCCCACCCTATTTTTGTCTTTTCTTGATTATCTCCCCTTGTGAGGAAACTTGGCCCTTCATTTTAACAATTTAAATTCCCCTTCACCCAAGGATGCTTTGTACCAAGTTTGGTCAAAATTGGCCCAGTGGTTCTTGAGAAGAAGTCGAAAATATGAAAAGTTTACAGACGGACAGACAGACGGACAGCTAGACAGACAGACGGACAGACAGACAGACGGACGACGGACAAAATGTGATCAGAAAAGCTCACTTGAGCCTTCGGCTCAGGTGAGCTAAAAATTAAAGCTAAGACACAATTCGTAACAGACAGAATATCAATAGTGCATTATAACATTAGAAACTTCTGCAGCATATTTCAGGGATTTTTTTCCACCCATTGGGAAAGGGTTTGGTACCAGTTCAATTGGGAAAAATAACCTCGAAGAAAAACAAAGGAGAATTTTTTCTTATTTATGCAAATGCAACGTATTTTGCATTTATTCCAACTTAATTACCTATTAATCCTTGTTTTAAAGAATAAACAACAAGTACTTATTGTTTTTTATATCAACGTCCCTTGTTTTCACATTGTCATGTTTTCAATTTGTCAAAATGTATGACACTACGCTGTCTAAACCTGTGCTCCCGCCAAATTACGACTTTCTCTACTGTCGATTCGAGCGGAAGTAAAACAATTAGTCAACTTGTACAATGTTTCATTTAACAAGAAATATGATGTCATCGTAATCTTTTGTTTATAAGTTGAATTGGGAATTTTTAATCACAGGATTGGGAAAAATTAACGTTTTTTGGCATTGGGAACGGTGCCGTTTATTGGTACCAGTTATATAAGGAAAAAAAACGCTGTATTTAACTCCCTTACACAGGAATTTTTATCACTGAATATAAGTGTTTTGCTGAAGTTTGAACTTTTTTCTTATCATGGAAGAAAAATATAAGCTAGGTATGTAATAAAATTTGCCTTCAAGACACCAAACTGTAAAACATATTTCTTGTTTGTTGTGATTTAAATTAGATATAATAAATAATACTGTACCTGTTGCGGGAAGTTCTATATTTGCTTCAAGTCCTATTCTTGACCCCGACTCTTGGGTTGAAGTAGAATATTTATCAAAATATTTTTTGAATAACTTTGTCTTGACAACCATTGATGCTTTGCCCCATGTCCATGTTATGATGTGAACACAGAATGTCACTCTGGAAAAGACAAAAATAACTTTTATAAACTTTTCAAAGAAAAAATCTGCAATAATATCTGCATACGTTTCCTTTACTTATTAATTATTATCAGTTTTGTAATTTGTACCACAAGAAAATATTTTAAATACCTTTTGTATTAATTGTAATCACTTATTTTATTGTGATATGCATTGAATTTACGTGTCAGCTAACTTACATGCATTAATTCACCTGACATTGAGTGAACTGTCATTTTCAAGTACTTAAAACATGTAATCATGTAAATTCAATCTAAGAATTTTGTTTTTGTGATGAATGCATATTTGTTTTATCGTTAAGTTTGATGATTATAAAAGAACAAATAAAGGATAAAAATTTAAGACACACAGTGTACTTTCACTTTGAAATGTTTCTAATGGTTAAGTATCTAAGATACTTGTTAACATACTTACAAATAGACCACTATTCCTAGAAGTAGTAGTAGACAAGTAACAAGGGCAGACCACAGATAGGCTATTCCTGACTTAGTTTTCTCCAGTATGTAAGTTACCCACTCGTCTGAAATAAGCAAACATTTCCCAGTCATAATATTACACCATGCAGAATATAGGCCAGCTGTGTGATAACACTAGACTAGCACGACTTCCTACACATATGCATACAGATAAAACTTCCCTGAGACAAAATGTTACCATATCTATAATTACATGGATAAAGACTTCTACAGTGCATATTTTTTTTTATGATAAAGATAATCTCACATTTAAAAATAATAACTTTCCTTAATTACTGTGCTATTTGGGAAAAATCTGCTTATTAAATCTTGCAGTGTTTTCTAAATGGAGCATACATGTACATAAACCTGTACATATAATGATTAGAAATGCTTACCATGTTCATCCCCCAAAAACATTGTGCATAAAATACTTTTTCACTTTGTAAAAAGTTGAAAAACATAAATTTACTTTTACAAAGAAAACCAAAATAAAAATTGATGTAAAACATCAATTGTTTTTCTTTAACATTAACCTACGAAAGGTAGTGCTTATTGAATAATAACTTATCAGCTGCCCGATAGGTTTATATATTTCCCTACATATTTACTTTAATTGTAACAAATTTCAATCATAATAGACTTATAGTTCAATACATACATTGAAACAGAAACAAATGTTTCTATATGGATTTTAACTTTTGCCACGCACATGTCACTGTCAATCAAATAATAAATACATGCAAAATTTATCAATATTATATAGAACACATGAAAAGAATAACAAGAGGCCCATGGGCTTTGACAGTAGCCTGACTTTAACAAGTTTCTGGGACTTTGAGCAAAATAGCCACATTTAGAACTGAAATTCTGATCTAATGTGACAATTACATTATGCAGTCTATATCATATATATAATATTATACAGGGTTTTAAACTAACTTGTAATCCTTGATCGCGATGTGGGCTACTAAACCTTGCAATTTTGGGGCCCACAACAAAATTTACTCGCCCACAAATTATTACACCTTCTATTGAATAAAAATACAACAACCTCATTTTTCATTATTATTATTTTTTTTAATTATATCACGACATATGCTTTGTGTTTCTTTTCTATCCGTAGAAACATTATGCACGACTTATCTAAGGCCAAAAATAAAAATATTCTTGTTTCCTGCTACCCGACCTACCCTATTTTTTTGCACCCGTCCCTAAAGTTTTTATTCAGTTTGGGGGAAAATCGGAAATTTCATGATCCAAATGTGAAAAAAAATATATATATATTCAAGTGGTATTTCATGAAATATAAGTTTTAAATATGGACTATTGGACTTTCATAAAACACTACTTATTTTAAACAATAATATTGACCAATGACATGTTTAATTTGGTTTTTAAATAGTTCATATCCAACAAATACTATTGGAAAAAATAAAATAAAAAAAATAATTTTCCTACCTACCTACCCTTTACTTTTCCGGCTGGTAGCAGGAAACAAGACTATTATTTTTTTTTGCCTAACTTTGAAGTTTAACTCTTTTGTTTAAGAAGATTTATATGGTTATTAAACATCATATATTCAAGCACATGGCAGGTTTTTTCACAGACACAACCAAGATACTTTTTGGTTTGTTGGGCTCATTGATGCGTCGATGCCACATTGTCCATACAATCACTCAGATGCTTTATGTATAAATACTTCTCACTGGTAAATATAAAGTACTTTACTAATTACGAAATTTTTCAAGAGAAAAAAAAGGAACATTCGGACAAAATTGGAAAACAAATATCTATTAACGTAAATTTTCTAATCGCTATGTGGGCTACTTGAACGTAATTTAAGTCACCCACAAAGAATATTAGTCGCAAATTGCGAGTTGGCGACTGTTAATTTCAAACCCTGTTATACAATAACATTCATCACTAATGATGCAGCTTGTCCAGAAGTTTGTGAGTAAAGAATGTAAGAAATGCTATATAATAAATTTTGATGCTCATGTTTGACCAAGTTAGCCCAACCCTGGGGGACATCATCACAAAAGTTTGGTAAAAGGCCGTTGGATGTATTATACAGTATAAGTGGAAATTTCAGCAAGACGCAAAATTAGCGATCTTACTTTCTTCTTACAATCATGTAGATGAAAATGCTTAAATCATGTTTTTATTTCGAGTCTTTTCTTGTTTTGAGAAAGGCAAAAACATATAATATTTACATTACTACCCTTTATTGCTTTTGAAAATTTAAAATATTTAAAAAAAAAAAATTTTTCTAATGCTAAAACTTCAATCATTTAATGAACTCATTATGACCCAGTGTTATCCCTTTATTTCAAAGTAAAGGGTAAAAGATCAGTTGTAACAGGCTTTGGGCTGAGGTTTATGAACAAAATCTCTGTGGACCTAACAAGAAATTTTTATTTCAAAGGCGCATTTTTGTCAATTGAAGCGGTCAATTTGGCCGGTTGCCGGTTCTTAGGGAAAACACTGATGACGTTATGCAATATGCATTAACAAGTACATGTATATAAAATTTATGCTTACTGCATGACAACAAGTTATACAATTGGTTGAATGATTAAATCAAAAAACGCCTACCTATATACTCCTGATCAAATGAGTACTGGTGCTGAGAATTTCTGGTGTGTTTAGATCTTCTCTTTGTCATGTGAAGGTCAGTCTGGACAGAGCTATTTTTCTGTTTCTTGTCAGTCTTCACTGAACTAACATTAGAGTTCTCCTTTTTCTCGGCCTCTTTGTTGGAGCTTGGCTGGTTTGTCCTCTTCTTGGCATCTCTGAGGTCATTATTGATGTAATCTGAGGACTTTCTGTGATTTTCTGAGCTTGATTTTGATCTTCCCACAGGTTTACCATTATTTAAGACTGTACTATCCATTGAGCTCTTTGGAGTTTCTTTTGAGGACTTGTTCTGTTGAAAAATTCTTCTTGGATCAAAGAAAGTTTTTTCAGCAGGTTTCGATTGCTGAGTTTTCTCTTGCTTCCCCTCCACTTTGGTCTTCTGTGCAGAGTTGTCTTTCTTACTTCCTACAGTGGGTCCTTTAGACAGATGAATCTCCTCTATTCCACTAGTCCCACTACTGACACTGCTAGTGCTACCCTTCCTTGACAGCAAAGGAATGCTCTCCAGACTTTCACTTTTGAGATTACCGGCCTCATTATTACCTACATCATCAAAATTGTCCAAACCATATTTAGAATTTGGTTTCACTTTGGACTCCATGTCATCAGCCAAAGTCGAGTGCCCCTTAGAATGTTGTTTCTGTAAATGGGAACCTCTGCGACTAAACCCTTTGTGATGCTTTCCGACAGGAGCCTCTGTGCCTTTCTTCTTTGAAGTGTCCACTTCCTCCTTCTCCTTGCTCTGAATTGGTTTAGACTTGAGAGACTTAGCAATATCTGAGTATGAGGGTTTGGACCTTATCTGAGCATTTTCTGCAGGTTCTTGAGAGGTTTTCAACACATCATCTGTTCCAAAAGGATCATAGTTTTTCACATTATTCCAGCTACTCAAGGTCTCGGCATACATGGACTGTCCTTCCATACTTGCCTCGTGAAAGCTTGAATTCCCATGCAAACTATGATCGGCTAAGCGGGGGTCTGTCTCAATTCCACTGGGGTTGTTCCTGATGTTGGTCAATATTTGGCTGAGGTACTCTGCATTTGGATCCAGGTTGGTATAAACTTGATCAAAAGAAGGACTGCTAGAGGGACTAAATGTGTCCCAGTGGATCTGGGGTGCTGTAGTGTCTGTCATGGTTTGTGTTGGCATACCACTGAATTGGGTCCAGGTGCTGTACATGGAAGCTGTATTATTCAGGTCCTCTCCCATTGGGCTTCTGTTTCTATCCATAAAGTGGATGCCATCAGATGCCCCATGCTGGTCTTTTCTGGATCGGGATTCAGCCATTGATTAAATCCCCATGGACTCTCTGTAATGTATGAATGAAAGAAATAAATTATTAAAATGAAATATTGCATCAATTGCTATATATATTTATCATCACACGTAACAGAAAAGCTATTCCAGAAAATCCTGAATTATTACTTATAAATCATCTTGTTGAGGACAATTGACCTCCTTAAGCTCCTTTATAATTTCATTCAAAAAGTAACTGTGGTCACAAATCAATTGCTTTACATAACCCCTGTTTGCTTCCAAAAATGTTAGAAATCTCTGAAGAAGATGCAATCTTATGATGGAATTTAACATGCTGAAAAATTGCACATAAAAACAAGAGGCCCATGGGCCACATCACTCACCTGAGCACTGTGGCTAGGAAAAAGTAGAAATTGGTTTATTATTGAAAAGTTTAAATCCAGAAGTAGTCTCATGAGCAATGGCTTTGCTTTTCTTGAGAAGATGATTTTTAAAGAATTTTCCTATATATGTCTATGTAAAACTTTGGTTGCCCATTGTGGCCCCGTCCTACCCCCGGGGGTCATGATTTGAACAAACTTGGGAATCTACACTACCTGAGAATGCTTCCATATAAATATGATCAATCATGGCTTTGTTATTTTTGAAAAGAAGATTTTTAAAGAATTTTCCTATATATTTCTATGTAAAGCTTGGGTCGGCCAATGTGGCCCCGCCCTACCCCCGAGGGTCATGATTTGAACAAACTTGAATCTACACTACCTGAGGATGCTTCCATATAAATATGATCAATTATGGTTTTGTTATTCTTGAGAAAAAGATCTTTCAAGAATTTTCCTATATATTTCTATGTAAAACTTTGGTCGGCCATTGTGGCCCCGCCCTACCCCCTGGGGTCATGATTTGAACAAACTTGAATCTACACTATCTGAGAATGCTTCCATATAAATATTATGAATTATGATTTTGTCATTCTTGAAAAGAAGATTTTTAAAGTATTTTCCTATATATTTCTATGTAAAACTTTGGTCGGCCCTTGTGGCCCCGCCCTACCCCCTGGGGTCATGATTTGAACATACTTGAATCTATACTACCTGAGGATGCTTCCATATAAATATGATCAATCATGGCTCTGTTTTTCTTGAGAAGATTTTTAAAGAAATTTCCTATATATTTCTATGTAAAACTTTGGTCGGCCATTGTGGCCCTGCCCTACCCCCGGGGGTCATGATTTGAACAAACTTGAATCTAGTACACTACCTGAGGATGTTTCCTCATAAATTTCATCTTTCCTGGAACAGTTGTTCTTGAGAAGAAGATTTTTAAAACATACCAGCAAATTTTCATTAATTCCCAATTATCTCCCCTTGAATGAGGGCCTGGCCCTTCATTTGAATAAACTTGAATCCCCTTCACCCAAGGATGCTTTGTGGCAAGTTTGGCTGAAATTGGCCCAGCGGTTCTTGAGAAGAAGTCGAAAATGTGAAAAGTTGACAGACAGACGGACAGACGGACGCCGGACAAAATGTGATCAGAAAAGCTCACTTGAGCCTTCGGCTCAGGTGAGCTAAAAAGTACTAAACAAATCCTAAATCTCTAATGTATATGAAAGTTGTGTACATGGGCACTTTGTTTCAGGCTGATGTATTTTGTGTATCAAATGTTATTCTAGGTATGTCTGAAATATTTTATAATGTGGTAATTTCAGTTTTAGGAAAACACATAGCCAAATACACAAAAGATGCCATCCTGAACCCTGCATATCTGTATACCCAATTAAAACTATACAACCAAATCACAGGCACTTGTTTTGGAAATTATTTTTTAATCCATAGTATAATAATAACACAAGGTATCTAACTCCGAATTACAATCAGTACCCCCCTACTCAGAAACGCACTCATTTACATTTTCAGATGAAATGCACTGGCAAAAGAGCAAGAGCCACTTTGGGCTTTATTTGGCCCTGAGAATCTGAAAATTCAAAACTGATCAGTTTATGTTGAAAATGCGGTATTTATCACTTGGAGTGTTGGTGACAATGTACATATTAATCGTGACGTAATTTCCCATTTAGTCAATGCATTATGATGTCATAAAATGCGTCATTTTCCTCATATCCTGTAAATTCCTTTGAAAATGACCTAAAGTTGAAGCATTTTTTTAATATTTCATATAGAGCACAACCTCTGATCCAAAATATGCAAATACATAATGAAAGCTCTGTTTCTGAAGATCAAAAAATGTGTTTTATTTTTTGAATCATGAGCTGTGCTCATATTAGGGATGTGCAATTTTATCGGTATACCGGTATATCGCGATTTTTATCCTAAAGGCCTAAATACCGGTCTTTGGTACATATCATAAAATCCAGAAATAATTCATTTATTTGTTCAATCTTTCAAATTACAAATACAGGAAGTATAAAAAATGTTGTAAAAAGTGAAAAGAACGGTATCTTACCGTCCAAACATAATTGATTTTATATACATAAAAATTTCAAGAAAATAAAATTTTATTTTTCTAGCATATTTTCTAGAAAAATAATGACTTTTCATATATAAAATCATTGTAAAAACTGGTTTTAAAAATATCATGATATTATCGTGATATTGTGGGAAAAAATCGTGATATATCGCGATACGAAATTTTTGGCGATACCCATCCCTAGCTCATATTTTAATTCTTTGCTGAAGGTAGTCAAATACGCATGTTTTCTGCAAATTTCAAGAACATTGCAATTTCTCAAACCTGTTTTCCAATATATCTTGATTCTGAAAACGAAATTTTATTATAGAAAATGAAAGCACCAAGTGTTTGCTTTATTTTGATATATGAAATGGGAAAGAGGGTAGTAGTTCATTAATTGATATAAGTACAGGGCCATTTTATGCATAAGATGGCTCTTGCTCTTTTTATTACCATTGTCTTCTGGGATAATTTTCTAAACCATATACAGCATGCATATCTTGTTTTCATTTATCTCCATACACAGCGTCAAAACTCTGCCCGCTGAGTGGAAAGTGGAACTCAACCACAAAATGGTATGTCATAATCTCAGGCAAAGAACAAAACAAAATAAATCAGTGAGTTTAAAAATTTAAATCCAGATTTAAAACATTGCATTGAATAAATAAAATTTGATTACATTTCATTTTTCATAAAAACACTCCAACAATTTTTCGATGTAGTTTTAGATATAGAAGTTTATATAGCAAATCAAAATTGTCATGCGGGATCACCACATACAGTTTCATGGTTGAGTTCCATTTTCCACTCAGCGGGCAGAGTTTTGATGCTGTTTACGGAGATAAATGAAAACAGTGATAAGCATGCCGATATGGCTGTGTAGATAAATTATCGTAGAAGACAATGGTAATAAAAAGTTTGCCAGTGCATTTCATCTGAAAGTGTAAATGAGTGCGTTTCTGAGGAGGGGAGTACTGATTGTAATTCGGAGTTAGATACCTTGTCTTATTATTATACTATGGGTTAAAAAAATAATTTCTGAAACAAGTGCCTGTGAACCAAATGAAAAGATTGTGCCAGACCTATTTACTGTGGAGATGGCAAGGAAAATTTCTAATCATCCAAGGCAAAAAATTCAGTTAAGCTGTAGGAGCTCCTTACGAGACTTTAATTCAGTCATCCATAACTCATTCCTTGCAAAAACACTTAGCCAAACGTATTTTGTAATGAGATATCTTTCTAATTACTAATTATGTAAACTCAGCTCATGCAACTTCATTCATCATGAATTTCGAGCTGCTATTTATAATGTTTTGCAAGCCTACGAAACTGTACGAAATTTCATCTTATACTTTTTTTCATAAAGATCCAGAATGGTCTTCATGTTTTTGCTGTCAAAAATAAATTTCTTCAAGAACATTCAAAGGAAACTACGTAGTACAATGAAGTGCAACATCATGTTTCTTTTTTTCTTTCTTGGACAATGTATACTGAAACTAACACTGTTTTCACCAATATACTTCGTGCATGGTATCACATTTGACAAAATTCTGTTTAATTTCTTTTAAACCACTCATCGAATAACTCTACATACATCAAAATTCAGAAAAATCCCTCTGACTTCTCATCCATCTATCGGCATGGAACTTGCAGTTGTCAACTCGAAAATCTCGCACCTGTCACGTGATATCCGCTAAAAGTCAATAATAACAACGAGATACAGCGAGATCAAATATGTATGGTGAACCGAGTGGGCACATTTTATATGTTGTACTGCCAGAGACATTTAAAAACATGTTCTTATGTCTGTGGTGCTGCTAAGAACTGTGTCATGGATTTTTAGGAGCAAGTAATCGAAGATTTGATGGCATAAAAGTTTTTTGGTCTGTTTCATCAATAGTCTGGATAAGTGGCAGACGACTGTTGAAACAGACCAAAAACTATTCTCAAAAGTGCTCATTATTATTCCTATCATCCTCAAAAGTGGATGATGCTACGGCTTTCAATTTTCACGTGTATATTTCTTAATTGTGACAAGGCCTTAATTGGGGACTTACACATTTGACCTTGACATTTGACTTTCTTGTTGCAAAATTTCATAATTTTACCATTGAACAATATACCAATAACTTTTTTTTTTTACCATTGCTCCTTCACTTTTAAGTTTTAACCCTTAGTATTATTTTTCAAGATTGGGTGCTAGGTCTTCACTCTTCAGGCAGATACCTTGTGTGTAGTTTTTGTGTCAAAACCTTTAATTCCTTAAATACCACCATTATTGACTTTTTGACCTTGGTATTTGGGTTTGACCAACATGTGAAAAATTAACATTGCTTATAATATATCTTTTGAACCGTGGGTGCTAGGGCTTTTCCTCATTTTTAAACTTCTTGACCTCGACCTTTGAGTTTGACCTACATTTGGCTGTTTTCATAAACTATTATACTAACTACTAGTATAATATGCGCATTTTTTGTAACAAGGCCTTTCAATGGATACCAACTTCTCTATTTGAACTCATTATGTTAACTTAGACCTTGAAGTTTTACCTACATTTTGAGAGATTTTGACATTGGCCCTGAGCTATCAAAATGGGGGAGGGGGGGGGGGGTCAGTGTTTCACAGACATATATTGTTTTCATAGAAAATAGTTTTTCTGACTAATTATTTCAAAACATACATTTCTCACGAATTTTACCCAGCAAACTACCATTTTTTTTGTATATATATTTTACTCAAAAAGACGTTTAATGGTAATATAGCAACAAAGTTTTACGACAAACGTCAGGCGATCCAGAAATTTTTTCCAGGGGGGGGGGTCCACCCCAGTCCAAAATGAAATCCAATCCCAGGAGAAATTTCTTAACAAGCAAAAAAAAAAAAAAAAAAAAAAATCGTCCAAACGTCAAAAACCTATTTCGGGGGGGGGGGTGGGGGGGGGTTATACTGGTGACTTTTATTGCCTCAAATCTTTCACTTTTCACACATATTCGCCTCGCCCAATACGCATTTCCATTTCATTTCCATTTCACACCCTGTATGAATCCGTATTAGGTCACTAACTGACTGTGTAACTAATAGTATATCCCAACATGCGGGGTGTATACTATGTTGTGCGTGGGGTGTATGCTTCCGAAGCGAGAGAAAGGGGGTCAATGTACGTTCTTTGTCCATTTTCCCAACTTACGGATATTTTTCGCCGGAAAGCATATGCCTACGGAAGAAAGCATTATCTAAGGAGTATATGGATACCTATGAATCCACTAGACACCTACTTTTATCAAACACCTCAACACAATTCCGAGGATTGGAGCAAGATTGACGCTACACTGTGTTTATGATCAAATATCAGAACAAAGCTTTGCTTTAGCACCACTTTTATATTATTGTTAAATACATGTTTACAATATAAACGTTTGTACAAATTGTCTGTAAATAAAACAGTTCGTATATAAAGATATTGACGAAAAATCAATGTTGTGTCCGGGGTTATGCAACATGTTGTACAAGGGGTGTATACCCCTTATTTTACTCTATAGTATCATTGTCTGAAATATCATTAAAAAATTTTCTTAACAATTGACTTTTATGAAAGTTCTTTTAATTTTTTTAATTATTCACTAGTTTTGTAATAGCACAACCTCAGGTTCATAAATTCGAATTACCATGATTACTGGGGGAAAATTGCTACACGTTCATCGTACTTTTGACTTTGCATGCACATGGAAGTAAACGTATATACAGGGTACTTTGTTTTTAAAACTGTTTAAATGTGATAAACAACAATTCATCCCTTCTTTCGATTTAAAGGTACCGTATTCAGATCGTTCCTTAATAAATGCTTCACACATGCATCATTTTGAACATTTAACATATTCTCCTAATTTCTGAATAACTTTTTTCAATATTTTTTAAATGAATTTGAAAATATTTAGCTTTTTGTAATGTCATAAACACCGCAAAAATGTTCTCCGTCATGTAGTATTTATGTGCTGTGTACTTTTCCCCTAGGAGCCCATATTTGGCAGTAAACTATTTGTTTTATATTGAGGCTTGGTATTGTAAAATTTTATTGCAAAAGCTCAAAGGGTTCTAGAGATATTGCGCGGAAACGAAAGTGTTATAACAGACAGAATTTGCGAATTTATTTCCTTGACCTTTGACCTTTTGACCTCAAAATCAATAGGGTTCTTTTTTAGTCCATAGGGAGTTGCTATGCAAAATTTCATTGCGAAAGCTCAAAGGGTTCTCGAGATATCGTGTGGAAACGAAAGCGTTACAGACAGACAGAATGACGGACGGAAGGACAGACCCAAATTAATATCCTCCACTTTTCAAGCTGGGGACAAAAAACACTATAAAATTAGGCGTTCCGTTGTGACGCGGCGACACCCTCAGTGCTCTATGTTTTAAACATTTGTTAAATAAATTCAAATAAACATTATTAAATTAAAATTTCAATTTTAATTAGATTTACATTTGTTCATCTTTTGATATATTGCATTTAATAATATGACGCCAAATGTAAAAGCTATGGACACTTAAACATTACTTTTGGATCAACCCTCGTCTATTTAGTTTGCATCTTAGAAACCTAGATTGAATATTTAAAGCGTGAATGCCCTAGCCCTAGCCCTAACCCTTTAAAAGTTATGGTCAAACTCCAAGGTCATGCATATATGTAAAGGTTGTGATATTCAGAAAATATACTCAAATGAGGGACAGTTTCTAGGCCCTGTGAATGATAAAAATTTTCATATTGGTCAGGGATAGTACCGTGAATATCGATTTCTGTACTCTGTAATGGTGCAAGTGCGGGAATAATTCACTCCCGCACGGATTTCGGCTTAAACATAACATTTCTTACCCAGAAAATATCAGATAAAAAATCGGAGAGGGCTACATTATTGCAGCAATGAAGCTTCATGTGACCGGTCGACAGGGGATCCTCACTCCTCCATGGCACCTGATCCCACCTCTGATTTGTTAGAGGTCCGTGTGTGTTCTGCTCCTAATTTGTAATGTTTAATGGACTTTTGAGCTTAAAAACTTTTCGTTATCTCTTTAAGGATTTAATTTTGTTTTCTAAATTCGATCGAAAACGAAATATTTATACATTTATGTGATGCCCAAGAAACCTTTAAGGATGAAATCAAGAAATTTTACCCCAACAAAATTTGTGATTATACATTAAGCAAAAATTCAACCAAAAATCATAGCTTATTCACGTATAATTCAATTATTTTTTTTTTTCAAGAGAAAGACATCGATGGAAAAGCGACCATTGTATGGTAACTATGCAATCCTTGACACAAGTTGTGAGAAGACCTCTCATTGGATACAAACATCTGACCTTTTGACCTTGGAGTTTGACCTACCTTTTAAAAACAAACCTTGATGTTAACTTTTAAAGGGTTAGGGCCGGGGCTTGCATACTTTACATATTTTATCAATGTGACAAGACCTTTTATTGTATACCTAGAACTTTGACCCTTTGACCTTAGGGTTTGACATACTTTTAAAAAACTTTTACCTTGGCCATATTTTTGAACGGTTAGGGCTATGGCTTTCATACTTCACATGTATAATTCTTGTGACAATTAAGCCATTTCTTTAGAAACCAACAACTTTGACCATTTGACCTCGAAGTTTTGCCTACCTTTCAATAACTTATCATTAGCCATAACTTTTGAACAGGTGGTGCCAGGGCTTTCATATTTTTCACAATTGCATTTCTGGTGAGAACACCTTACTTTGGGTACCAACATTTTAAATTTGCATTTAAGAAAAGTTTAATCTTCACTGTTGCCATACAGGGGCATCAATGTTTCACAAACTCATCTTAAAACACATTCCTTAAAACTTTTGATTGAGAAGAGATAGTTCTTTTATATTTGACATGTGCATCACCTGTGACAAGATATTTCCGAGCATGCTGTGATTTCTGAACCCTTGATCTTGACCTTCATGATTGACTTAATTTTAAACAAGCAAATTCAAAGAATTGTGGTCCCCCGCTTTCGGTGTCTTTGTGGATGAGATGTCATTTTTTATGACACATTGTGTCTAATATGAACATCCTACCATATGTCATTTATTTAGAAATTATCACTGAAGTTGATTTTTAAAAAAAAAATAAGGTCAGTTGTGAAGGTCAAGGTCAAGGGGTAAGAATTCATAGCATGCTCGGAAATATCTTGTCACAGGTAATGCACATGTCAAATATGAAAGTCCTATCTCTTCTTTATGGAACGCCATAGCTGCCTTATGTGGCTATTTTATATTATGCTGTGGTTATTTTATATTATGCTGTGGTTATTTTATATGAAGATGGTGCTCTTTTATATTATGCTGTGGTTATTTTACATGAAAATGGTGCTCTTTTATATTATGCTGTGCTTATTTTATATGAAGGTGGTGGTCTATCATATTATGCTGTGGTTATTTTATATGAAGATGGTGCTTTATTTTATTACGCTGTGGTTATTTTATATGAAGATGGTGGTTTATTATATTATGCTGTGGTTATTTTATATGAAGATGGTGCTCTATTATATTATGCTGTGGTTATTTTATATGAAGATGGTGCTCTATTATATTATGCTGTGCTTATTTTATATGAAGATGGTGCTCTTTTATGCTGTGCTTATTTTATACGAAGATGGTGCTCTATTATGTTATGCTGTGGTTTTTTAATATGGAGGTGGTGCTTTATTATATTATATGAAATTCCTAGTTTCTACTATTCAAAAGATATGGCCAAAGTAAAAGTTTGGATTTTTTGTGTAAAAGTGGGTCAAACTCCAAGGTCTAGGTCAAAAGGTCAAATATGGTGGTACCCAAAGAAAGGTCTTCTCACAAGGGACACACAAAAAAAAATATGAAAGTCATAGCTCCACTAAATCAAAAATAATGGGCAGGTTAAAGTTTTTTTGACGGACGGACAGACGAATGAGATTTAATGTCCCCTCGCTTTCGCTAAAGCAAGGGACAATAAAGAAGGCAATAAATTGTTATTTTATTCATTATGGTTTTATTTTGATCGGGATTGGTCCAAAATGAATTTTTTTGTTCAATTTGCCATTTCATTTCAATTTCTTGCCAAAAAGACTGAGACTAGTCAAAATTCACATATACTTTGATCATTAGTAAACTTTAAGTGAATCATCGTGCATACGTACAGATATTTCTCCATCAGATAATAAAGGCTTGTCATAATTTTTAATTCTTATACCACCAACCTTTCACTTGCTATTTGACTTCGAATTGAAGTCATGACACTCCTTAGGTTCATAAACAGTACCTGTATCAGGTTCCAATGAGCAATCTTTGTATCAAGTACGAGCTCCTAGTATTTCTACATTAATTGTTAAGTTAAAGTCTTAAAAAAATAATTTTACACTATTCTGCCTGTAACTTTGAACTTGCTGCATTGACACTGGATTAAAATAAGAACTTTCCTTATTTCAAAAACAATACCTGTACCAATTCTTTTCCAAATAAAGTTTTAGCCGAGACATTTTTTTCTCTTTTTTCTACCAGTGACCTTGAAATCACCAAAATGACATTGGATAAAGGTCAACGCATATTCTTTGATCATAAGCAATATCTGTACCGAGTATGAGCTTCCACTGACTCTTCATTACTAATTCAAGTTATGTCATACCTTTTTTCTACTAGAAACCTTGAACTAAATAAGACTGGATAAGATCATGACACATTTTTGGGTCATAAGCAATCCCTGTACCAGGTTTGAGCTTCCAGTGATTCTTTCTACAAAGTTATGACCCAGACAAAAATTTCATACTTTTAGGCCAGTGACCTTGAACTTGCAGGAATGACCTTGTGTCAGATCAGGACTCACTGTCGGGTCATTACAAGCAAGCTCTATAACAAGTATAAGCTTCCAATGTTTCCATATATCAAAGTTAGAGCCTAGACAAAATTACATTCACAGACAATGTGATTCCTGCATATCCCTAAAACTTCCTTTGTTTGGGGTAAAAAGAGAAGTTTCATTACAAGGAATACACATTTGAAATAAAAAAAAACCCTAGCACTAATCATTCACATCATTTTTTTTTTACCAAAGTAGGTCAAAGTCTAACTTAAAGGTTAAAAAAAGTTCAAAAGGAATGGCCATGGGTAGTAAAAATTAGTAAATTTGGAGACACATAAACAGACCGACAGTTTATCAAAATATGCCCCCAAATCTTCAATTATAGAGGTGGAATAAAAACTCAACAAGTTTAATTCCATGACAAACAGACTGTATGATAGTGTATTTTAATATATATGATAAATTCAAACTGACATAAATTAATCATGTATCACAAGGGACAAACACAGTTTTTACAATTACATGTACATCAGTTATGCTTTTCAAGAAAAATTGAAAAAAATATGAAACATCTAGAAATTTTAAATCTTCATATACTACTTGTGTATGAAGTAGAACATGCTTATAGAAACTTGACAAGGAAAAATATTTCATAAAAAACTTAAATTACTTAGAACCTCAGTAACAACTAAAAGAAGGAAAAAGTGTTGCATACAAAGATAAAACTAAATTAGATAAGCAAGAAGCCCATGGGCCACATCACTCACCTGAGTAACTTTGGCCATTATGTTATTAAACAGATTTCCCCCTAATACCTATCTTGACCTTTCCCAATCCCCAGCGGTCATGATCCAAGCAATTTAGAATCTACACTAGTAACACTACCCCAGGATGCTTCCACAGAAGTTTTAGCTTTTCTGGCCCAGTGGTTCTTGAGAAGATTTTTTTATGACCCCACCCTATTTTTGTATATTCTTGACAATTTCCCCTCGGAAAGGGACTTTATTTTTATAATTTAAACTCCCAATACCCAAGGATGTTTTGTACTAAGTTTGGTCATAATTGGCCCAATGGTTCTCAAGAATAAGCTGAAAATGTGAAAAGTTTACAGATGAATGGACAGTCAGACAGATGGACGATGGACAACAGGTGATCAGAAAATCTCATGAGCTAAAAACTGCAAGGCCTGCTATGTAAATCAAAGGAGAGAAAATATAAAAGAATTTAGATTTAGCATATTGTTATATTTATTTATAATCTAAAACACTAAAAAATAAGAATGTTACAATGAGATCACTTTATCTTTATTAGCAATTTTCAAACTAAAATTAGATATCATTGAGATGGTGGGCATCTCAAAGGGTCCCACTTTCAGCAATGAACATAAAAATGTAAAGTTACTGAAAGGGGTTTTAACCTTGACTCTTGGCCTAGAAACTTTGTTCAAGGTCACTACATATCCATTGACCAGTGGCACTCTGTGAGAGAAGTATTAGCCACATTGGACCAAGGGGAGAAAGCATATGCTCTGGACAAGGATTCACAATAAAAAAAATTACCTCCCTTTCTCTTAAGCTTAGATATTCAGACAAGCACTGATTTACCTCTCTTGATATTTTTGCTTAAAAATCCAATCTTTAACTTTTCTAAATTAAAAAATATAATATACAGATACAAAAAAAACATTCAGAAACAAGATGTGTTTGTGAAACACTATGCGCCCGGCGGCAACAAAGTTAAAAAAATCTATCTTTAGCATATAGGTCACAGTCAAGGTCACAAGGTCATTGACCTTGGTGTCATTTAAAAGAACTTAATCGGTGGAGTATGCATACTAAATAGGAAGTCCCTATCTCCTATGGTTCAAAAGTTATGGCAAACAGAGAAAAAAGCTATTTTTAGCATATAGGTCACAGTCAAGGTCACAAGATCATTGACCTTGTCATCGTTTGAAAGGACTTTATTAGTGGAGTAAGTATACAAAATATGAAGTCCCTATCTCCTATGGTTCAAAAGTTATGGCAAACAGTGGAAAAACCTATTTTTAGCATATATTATAGGTCACAGCCAAGGTCACAAGGTCATTGACCTTGATGTCATTTGAAAGGAAGTTATTAGTGGAGTAAGTATACCAAATATGAAGTCCCTATCTCCCATGGTTCAAAAGTTATGGCAAACAGTGGAAAAACCTATTTTTAGCATAGAGGTCACAGTCAAGGTCACAAGATCATTGACCTTGTCGTCGTTTGAAAGGACTTTATTAGTGGAGTAAGTATACCAAATATGAAGTCCCTATCTCCTATGGTTCAAAAGTTATGGCAAACAGTGGAAAAAGCTATTTTTAGCATATAGGTCATAGCCAAGGTCACAAGGTCATTGACCTTGATGTCATTTGAAAGGACTTTATTAGTGGAGTATGCATACCAAATATGAAGTCTCTATCTCTTATGGTTCAAAAGTTATGGCGAAGGTTAAAGTTGACAACAGACAGAAAGACAAACAGACAAACAGACAGGACAAAAACAATATACGCCCGGGATCTATCAATCCGGGCGCATAAAAATAACGTAGTATATGAAAAGTTGTACAATAATGTAGTACAATAATGTAGTATCACAACTTTGAGTGATCTGCTGTGGATGTCATATGATCATGAGTTATCCTTAATGAGTTATGTACTCAGCATGGTACACTGAATCCCGAGAATTAAGCTGTTTACGGTGTCCATCACTTTGTAGATATATAATAATGTACTCAGCACTATCCATTGAATTCTTTGAGTTGAGTTATTTAGTGTGTCCATCACTTGCAGTCCAAACCTTAAATTATACTCTCTGCACTATTGTTGAAGCATATTTGTCTGCTGTCAAAGAAACATGAAATTGATGGCAGTCTGCCTGTAAAAAAAAGAAATCACAAGGACTCAACATAAATATTAATAAAATCTTAATAAATGAAAAATAGCTAACATATTTCTACAGAATAGAAGGATTTTGCAGAGCTTGTACATGTGTCTTACCTTTATTTTCAGGTCCCATAGTTGATCTCTTTGGAGTCTTGAGGAATCATGTTGATCTGCTTTTGGAAACAGGATCAATGCCAGCATAACCACCTGCCTATTAACAAAAAGACACTAAGAATCCAAGCAATGAGAGAGTCAAAATCTCCTCTAATTCACATAATGCAAGGTCTAGAGCTTTACATGCATCTGATCTGACTAACCATCAATTTTAGGTTAGACAGTATCAAGTCCTTACTATCCACATTCTTGTTAACTGATTGAGATCAGTCTCATCTTCTACTTGATAACGAAAAAAACATGAACAAAAATACCTTGTGCCAAAATGTTCACCTGAGTCACCTTGACTTTGTCATCAAAAGAAAAATTCTTAATTCATATTTTTTTTACTAATCCTAGTCCAAAGGGATCATGATGTAACGTAATTTTAAACAACACATCCTCGGGATGCCCTATTGTTATTGCAACACAGTCTTGCTGTTGTGCAGCAGAAGTAAATCCCCCTGGACCTATGATTTGATAAGTGTATAAAGAAAATTTGTAAATTGCAAAAAATAAATCTTTTTACCCACTCCTTAATCAGATATTGGCTGCTGTACAAAACTTGGCAATAGACTCTTCTTTTTCTTCACTTGGTCAGCACTGGTCCTCTTCCCTTGTCAAATTCCTTGAAAATACTTGATGGAGAGAAGATAAGCAATAATACAAAGCAATGTAATAATCACAGAAATTCAAATGAAAATAAAGTTCTCGCAAATAAAAAGTGATTTACAGTATTCCCCTGTCCATTTTGATCCACCATTGGGGCCCTGCCCTACACCTGGGAGTCATGATTTGAACAAACTTAAATCTACACTACATGAAATTGCTACTGTATACATATCACCTGAGTCATGACATATTTGTTTCTGAGAAGATTTCTAAAAATATTTCCAATATAATCCAATGTAAAACTTTGATTGTCCAATGTTGCCAAACCTTTTTCCGGTTGACATGATTTAAACAAAATGAAATCTTCACTACCAAAAAGGATGATTTGCTATCAATATAAGTAATTGTGGCTTGAGAAAAAAAAGTATATCCCTACATACTGTAGATTCCTAAATATGTGTGTGGAATTAATTTTCGCATAATTTCGTGAGAAGCACCACACACAAAATTAAATTACTCACCTTTATTTTTATGGCGCTGAAATCTATGTAAATTCTCTTAACCAATCATGCATTTGCGAATTATTATTCTTGTGATTTGACAGTGAAAAGCCTATTCGCGATAATTACTCGCGAAAAATAAGGAATCTACAGTATTATATATATTTTTGATCCCCTATTCTGACATCAACATGGGGTCTTGATTTGACTAATTTTGAATCTACACTACCTGAGGATGATGCCACATAAGGAGAAGTGTCTCTTTCCTGTCTCAGTGGTTCTTGAAAAGAAGATTTTTAAAAGATGTCCTTAATTTTTCTCTTATTTGTAGTAATCTTCCATTTGAAGAGGGAGTGGGCCTTCATTTGAATAAACTTAAATCCCATAATGGCATTTATCCAAAAATACTCTTTGCCAAGTTTCGTTGAATTTGACCATAGATGAAAATGCGAAAGTTGACAAACAGGAGGCCCATGGGCCACATCGCTCACCTGAGAAGCTTTGACCATTCTGTTCTTTACCAGATTTCCCCCTTGTAACACATATTGTGAACCCACCCTACCCCACTGATCGAAATTTAGACAATTTGAAATCTACACTACCCCAGGATGTTTCCACATAAGTTTCAGCTTTTCTGGCCCAGTGGTTCTTAAGAAGAAGATTTTCAAAGATTTTTCCTATATATTTCTATGTAAAACTTTGATTCCCCATTGTGGCCCCGCCCTACCCCCGGGGGTCATGATTTGAACAATTTAGAATCTACACTACCTCAGAATGCTTCCACACAAGTTTCAGCTTTTCTGGCCCAGTGGTTCTTGAGCAGAGGATTTTCGAAGATTTTTTTTATATATTTCTATGTAAAAATTTGATTCCCCATTTAAGCCCCGCCCAACCGCCTGGGGTTATGATTTGAACAATTTAGAATCTACACTACCCCAGGATGCTTCCACAGAAGTTTCAGCTTTTCTGGCCCAGTGGTTCTTGAGAAGATTTTTTAATGACCCCACCCTAGTTTTGTCTTTTCTTGATTATCTCCCCTTGTAAGGGGACTTGGCCCTTCATTTTAACAATTTAAATTCCCCTTTACTCAAGAATGCTTGGTACCAAGTTTGGTCAAAATTGGCCCAGTGGTTCTTGAGAAGAAGTCGAAAATGTGAAAAGTTTACAGATGGACAGACGACGGACAAAATGTGATCAGAAAAGCTCACTTTAGCCTTTGGCTCAGGTGAGCTAAAAAGATGACAAAGACATAAAGTGAACAAAGGTTCACTTCTTTTAAAAACCAGCACTTATATCAATTGATTCTACTACTAAATTGGGTTTGTGATCAGGAGAGATCCTATATGAGATGTTTACCAATGCTTTTGAGACTCATCTTCCCGTGCGTCCTTGCGAACTTAGCCTGGGACAAAATGATACCCAGTATCCGTCTGCTTCCACGTGGAGGCATCGCATAGGACTTGTTGTGGAGAGGCTATGTACTGGCAGGGGAAGTCATTAGAATTTCTTCCCCCTTTTCGCATTGCTGCTTGCCAGCGGTGATGGCTGAAAGCGAGAGGTGACAAGCACACAGACACTAACACCAACACACTAGACGCGTCACACAACATTTAGCAGACGTTAGTAGTTTTAGTAGCTTGTTACTTGTTCAGGGTTCTCCATTGTTTAAAATTTTACTGTGTTGCAGAGTTTACGCAAAGCACTAAAATTTCACGGTATTTTAGCGATCAAATTTGCAACTGACTCACTATTCATTATAATTACTTAAGAATACATGCACACAATTAAAAAAAAAAAAAATCACCAATTCGTTACAAAAATAGTATGGTCGAACATATTAGCACATGTTGTGAAATGCAGAGGAAATTCTTGTCTAAAAAGTTGAACTACTTACAATTTTTTAAAGGAAATTTGTCATAATTTTTTTGTCAATTTTATTGATCGAATTAAGGAATTACAAAAAAAGAGACTTCGGAATAGTAAAATACTTTTAAAAGTTCCTTGAAAATTGAAAACTATTTATTTACATCAAGTAAATGATTTTGGTACAGTGTTATGTTTGATTTACATTGCAAACATAATTCTAGAGCCATGGCTCTAAAGAAAAGACATTTAAATATATTTTTAAAAATTACACAATGTACTTTAATTGCAACTACTAGTACCAATTAAGCGTTACATGGAAGTTTGAAATCCAATTTTTTGTCGTTGTTCCTTCATGCGTCAAGTCCATTGAGGGTCTAGGAAATAATTGATTATGCAAGGTGAAAGCATAATTAAGTGATCTAGATATCGTATAGAATTGAAAGACGGTAGAATTGTTTGATCAATTATGTTTCAGATAGAGAGAATTTGTAATTTGTAATTATAATTGTTGTAAGAAAAACTTGCGACAACGGTATCACCGTATGTCGCGGAAAAGTGCCCTTCTATTGCACCCCTCCATTTTCAGATCCTAGCTGGAACACTGTGTATGTTTCAATTTTTTTTATTATCACAGATCTTACTGTGTCAGCAAATTTTTAATGTGTCGCACAGATAAAATTTGAATCTTTACTGTGTCGGAGAACATTTTTCCGTGTTGGGACCAACACAGTAAAACAGCTCATGGAGAACCCTGCTTGTTAGGGTGTTAATCATGCAAACCTATCCACCACAAGCACTAATCATGCACTAACTAACAAATACCTTAATTACAATAATAACCTACACTCCTCTAAGCTGTCTAACTATCAACTAAAGCCTACTTACTAACTCAAACTACAACACAACTGCACCTACTGGAAATACTATACAAACTAAACCTAAGACTAAGAAACACCTTTGTAACGCTACTTACAACTACTATACACCCCATAATTTCTGAATGCAGCAAACACTCCGGACTGACCTTCAGAGGTGGCTATCTCTGCTTCCTGTCAATTAAAACTCAAGAGGTCAAAGCCTGAAAAAGCCAACATCAATTGGAAAGCCATAATATTGGGAAAAGGTGCTCAGACGTCAAGTATGAATCTTACCGCACTTTCTGCTCATGAACGCTGTTAAATGGGAGAGGGACTGCTCTTCACTTCAGGATCCTGGTCAGCCTCAAATTTCTTCTGCTTAAAAAGAGAAAACAAACACATCAAAGGAGAATCACTCACATTCCCTAACAAATGACAAACTTCATTTAAATAATCAATTTCTTACTTACAACCTTGAGCCATATTGGTTGCTGCATAAAGATGGGAAATGGACTCGTCATCCTGTCTTTTGCTGTTGGTCGACCTTGCTCCTCCATCGTTGTTCCTCTTCCGAGTACCTGAAAGTATAAAACTGGCACAATGTTAGTAAAACTTCAAAAGAATGCAACAAATCATGAAAAGTTACTTACCACTTTGGGCCAAGTTGGCTGCTGTATAGAGATGGGAAATGGACTTGTCATCTTGTCTTCTTCTGTTGGTCGACCCTGCTCCTCCATCGTTGTTCCTCTTCCAAAACTCTGAAATTATAAAACTGGCACAATGTTAGTAAAACTTCAAAACAATGCAACAAATCACGAAAAGTAACTTACCGCTTTAGGCCATGTTGGCTGCTGTATAGAGATGGGAAATGGACTCGTCATCTCGTCTTCTTCTGTTGGTCGACCCTGCTCCTCCATTGTTGTTCCTCTTCCCAGTCCCTGAAAGTATAAAACTGGCACAATGTTAGTAAAACTTCAAAAGAATGCAACAAATCACGAAAAGTAACTTACCACTTTGGGCCAAGTTGGCTGCTGTATAGAGATGGGAAATGGACTTTTCATCTCGTCTTCCTCTGTTGGTCGACCTTGCTCCTCCATCGTTGTTCCTCTTCCCAGTCCCTGAAAGTATAAAACTGGCACAATGTTAGTAAAACTTCAAAAGAATGCAACAAATCATGAAAAGTTACTTACCACTTTGGGCCATGTTGGCTGCTGTATAGAGATGGGAAATGGACTCGTCATCTCGTCTTCCTCTGTTGGTCGACCCTGCTCCTCCATCGTTGTTCCTCTTCTGAGTCCCTGAAAGTATAAAACTGGCACAATGTTAGTAAAACTTCAAAAGAATGCAACAAATCACGAAAAGTTACTAACCACTTTGGGCCATGTTGGCTGCTGTATAGAGATGGGAAATGGACTTTTCATCTCGTCTTCCTCTGTTGGTCGACCTTGCTCCTCCATCGTTGTTCCTCTTCCGAGTCCCTGAAAGTATAAAACTGGCACAATGTTAGTAAAACTTCAAAAGAATGCAACAAATCACGAAAAGTTACTTACCACTTTGGGCCATGTTGGCTGCTGTATAGAGATAGGAAATGGACTCGTCATCTCGTCTTCCTCTGTTGGTCGACCCTGCTCCTCCATCGTTGTTCCTCTTCCGAGTCCCTGAAAGTACAAAACTGGCACAATGTTAGTAAAACTTTAAAAGAATGGAACAAATCACGAAAAGTAACTTACAACTTTGGGCCATGTTGGCTGCTGTAAAGAGATGGGAAATGGACTCGTCATCTCTTCTTCCTCTGTTGTCGACCTTGCTCCTCCATTGTTGTTCCTCTTCTGAGTCCCTGAAAGTATAAAACTGGCACAATGTTAGTAAAACTTCAAAAGAATGCAACAAATCACGAAAAGTTACTTACCACTTTGGGCCAAGTTGGCTGCTGTATAGAGATGGGAAATGGACTCGTCATCTCGTCTTCCTCTGTAGGTCGACCTTGCTCCTCCATCGTTGTTCCTCTTCCCAGTCCCCGAAAGCATAAAACTGGCACAATGTTAGTAAAACTTCAAAAGAATGCAACAAATCACGAAAAGTTACTTACCACTTTGGGCCATGTTGGCTGCTGTATAGAGATAGGAAATGGACTCGTCATCTCGTCTTCCCCTGTTGGTCGACCCTGCTCCTCCATCGTTGTTCTCTTCCGAGTTCCTGAAAGTACAAAACTGGCACAATGTTAGTAAAACTTCAAAAGAATGCAACAAATCACGAAAAGTAACTTACAACTTTGGGCCATGTTGGCTGCTGTATAGAGATGGGAAATGGACTCGTCATCTCGTCTTCCTCTGTAGGTCGACCCTGCTCCTCCATTGTTGTTCCTCTTCCCAGTACATGAAAGTATAAAACTGGCACAATGTTAGTAAAACTTCAAAAGAATGCAACAAATCACGAAAAGTTACTTACCACTTTGGGCCAAGCTGGCTGCTGTATAGAGATGGGAAATGGACTCGTCATCTCGTCACCTCTGTAGGTCGACCTTGCTCCTCCATCGTTGTTCCTCTTCCCAGTCCCTGAAAGTATAAAACTGGCACAATGTTAGTAAAACTTCAAAAGAATGCAACAAATCACGAAAAGTTACTTACCACTTTGGGCCATGTTGGCTGCTGTATAGAGATGGGAAATGGACTTTTCATCTCGTCTTCCTCTGTTGGTCGACCTTGCTCCTCCATCGTTGTTCCTCTTCCCAGTCCCTGAAAGTATAAAACTGGCACAATGTTAGTAAAACTTCAAAAGAATGCAACAAATCACGAAAAGTTACTAACCACTTTGGGCCATGTTGGCTGCTGTATAGAGATGGGAAATGGACTCGTCATCTCGTCTTCCTCTGTTGGTCGACCTTGCTCCTCCGGCATTGTTCCTCTTCCGAGTCCCTGAAAGTATAAAACTGGCACAATGTTAGTAAAACTTCAAAAGAATGCAACAAATCACGAAAAGTTACTTACCACTTTGGGCCATGTTGGCTGCTGTATAGAGATGGGAAATGGACTCGTCATCTCGTCTTCCTCTGTTGGTTGACCTTGCTCCTCCATCGTTGTTCCTCTTCCGAGTCCCTGAAAGTATAAAACTGGCACAATGTTAGTAAAACTTCAAAAGAATGCAACAAATTACGAAAAGTTACTTACCACTTTGGGCCATGTTGGCTGCTGTATAGAGATGGGAAATGGACTCGTCATCTCGTCTTCCTCTGTTGGTTGACCTTGCTCCTCCATCGTTGTTGTCTTCCGAGTCCCTGAAAGTACAAAACTGGCACAATGTTAGTAAAACTTCAAAAGAATGCAACAAATTATGAAAAGTTACTTACCACTTTGGGCCATGTTGGCTGCTGTATAGAGATGGGAAATGGACTCGTCTTCCTCTGTTGGTCGACCTTGCTCCTCCATCGTTGTTCCTCTTCCGAGTACCTGAAAGAAAAAAACTGGCACAATGTTAGTAAAACTTCAAAAGAATGCAACAAATCACGAAAAGTAACGTACCAATTTGGGCCATGTTGGCTGCTGTATAGAGATGGGAAATGGACTCGTCTTCCTCTGTTGGTCGACCTTGCTCCTCCATCATTGTTCCTCTTCCGAGTCCCTGAAAGTATAAAACTGGCACAATGTTAGTAAAACTTCCAAAGAATGCAACAAATCACGAAAAGTTACTTACCACTTTGGGCCATGTTGGCTGCTGTATAGAGATGGGAAATGGACTCGTCTTCCTCTGTTGGTCGACCCTGCTCCTCCATCGTTGTTCCTCTTCCGAGTCCCTGAAAGTATAAAACTGGCACAATGTTAGTAAAACTTCAAAAGAATGCAACAAATCACGAAAAGTAACTTACCACTTTGGGCCATGTTGGCTGCTGTATAGAGATGGGAAATGGACTCGTCATGTCTTCTTCCCCTGTTGGTCGACCTTGCTCCTCCATCGTTGTTCCTCTTCCGAGTCCCTGAAAGTACAAAACTGGCACAATGTTAGTAAAACTTCAAAAGAATGCAACAAATCACGAAAAGTTACTTACCAATTTGGGCCATGTTGGCTGCTGTATAGAGATGGGAAATGGACTCGTCATCTCGTCTTCCCCTGTTGGTCGACCCTGCTCCTCCATCGTTGTTCTCTTCCGAGTCCCTGAAAGTACAAAACTGGCACAATGTTAGTAAAACTTCAAAAGAATGCAACAAATCACAAAAAGTAACTTACCACTTTGGGCCATGTTGGCTGTTGTATAGAGATGGGAAATGGACTCGTCTTCCTCTGTTGGTTGACCTTGCTCCTCCATCGTTGTTCCTCTTCCAAGTCCCTGAAAGTATAAACTGGCACAAGATTAGTAAGACTTTAAAACAATGCAACAAATCACAAAAATTCAAGTGAATAAAATCAGTACAACACAATTTGTTGAAAAATCAGAAAACAATGACAGTGAATTCAGGAAGACGAATGAGGGGGAAAAGGAAGGGGAAGGTTAGTTATGTTAGAGTCAGCCGGGGCCAGGGGAAAGAAGGGAGAAATTCAAAAATACTTCCATATAAGCTTCCTTTGCTGTTGCTGTGGCTTCTGGTGATGTTTCTTCTGAACTGTCTCAGCATTTCTGCTTCCTGTCAATTCAAAATCAATAGGTCAAAGCCTGACAAAGCCAACATCAATTGGAAAGCCAAAATACTGGGAAAAGGTACAAAGAGGTCAAGAATGAGTCTTACCCCATTTTCTGCTCATGAATGCTGTTAAATGGGAAGGGACTGCTCCTCACTTCAGGATCTTGGTCAGCCTCAAATTTCTTCTGCTTATAAAGAGAAAATAGACACATCATAGGGGAGACACTCTCATTTCACATGAAGTATGAAACTTCATTTAAAAGCACAGATAATCAAAGATTATGAATCTCACCTTGACGAATGTTATCAGTTTAAGTAATGCAAATCTCACATCATATTTCCTTAACAGTTAGTATTTATCCTGACAACAATATTCAAGCAAATTCTGTTTAAATAGTTTTTAAAGTTCATTGAGGATTGACATTTTCCAAATACTTGAACCTGGTCACTCATTTGAAGAATGCAGGTCAGATCCAGCATCCGAAGCAAGTTTCAAATGTCCATCTTTAGATGCATCATCCATGCAAGTTTGGTCAGGGTAGAGCTGAGTTGGGAATAATTTCATCACTCATCTGGAAAAAGTAGGTCAGATCAAGCATCCGAAGCAAGTCTGGTAGTGTCCATTCCTAGATGCATCACCCATGCTTGTTTGGATCGGGTAGGACTTACAGTTTCTTGGGAATGGACCTGCTCCAAAAACCTTAACCTGGTCACTCATCTGGAAAATGTGGGTGACAGATCCAGCATCCAAAGCAAGTCTGGTAGTGTCCATTCCTAAATGCATCATCCATGCAATTTTGGTCCAGGTACGACTTATACTTACTAGAACATGGACTTGCTCCTAAAACTCTACCATGGCACAAATGCTAACCCTGAGGCTGGTG